GTGGTGGTAGTGGTAACACCTCCTTCTGTGGTGAGCAGCCTCATTGCACACTAGTTTTGTGCAGTTTGCTATTGCCTATGGAAATCCCCCAACTCCCTGAAAAGATTTATGCAGCTATTTTTACAGTACACTGCACTCACCTCTCCTAGCTTGTTCCCCTTTCATCCTCTGTCCCTCTCTCTCTCTTCCTTGACCATAGTGAACTTCCCTTAGTTCCTCCCAAATGCTAGCCTTCGACTTCTTCTAGCATCTGGAGTCTGCATCTCTGTGTGCCACTCTCTATGTTGGATCCTTTTCCACTTTAATTTATCGGGCTGACTCCCACTGCACTCTTGGACTAAATGGCACTGCTGCAATTTTCATCGGTTAGTAACTTTTCTCAGCCAAGACTGAGTTGAGTGCACCCATCAGAGGCTCTTAGACCCTTTCCTCTTTCCATGGTGATGCCTTGCTTCCCTTGAGACACTGCGTGCTTCCTGAGGGAGGGACTCTACCCGCCTCGGGGAGGCTGTACCTGAAGCACCTCACACGTGGGAGGCGTTCAGTAACACTGGCTGGTGGCTGTCCTTGCCGTAACAGCTGTGCCTTTAAATCATGCAGGGGCAAAATTGCTCCTGGGGTTTGAAGCAGTTTACCTGTGCAGATTAAAAAATGGTCTGATTTGGTTGTGTGAATGAATGAGATACTCCAATTATTCAGTTAAGAAGTCCACATCTCCGACGTTCTTTCATATGAAAATGTATTAAAAAACCAAATAAAGAACAAAAATAATTTCCACGTAATAAAGTTGGACAGAAAAAGCAAAACATACACAAGCTCTCTGATAAGGATTAGAGAGGAGATAGAGAAGGTGAATAGTTCTAAGTATTTAGCCCACAGCGCTGGCACTTTTGGTCTCTGGATAACGCCTGAAAATGAATTGTTGCCTAAACCCCATTGCTACCTCGCTCTATTTCTCTTTCCTTTCTCTGTTGGAAATAGAAAAAGTGCATCTACCTCCAAAGGCAGAACGCCAACTGGTGCCATTCAGAGCAAAATATAAACACATTTATCCTATCAGGAAGCCAGAATTACAAGGAAGATATTTATATAATAGAAAAGAGTGAAGTGTAATGGGCTTAGCTTTTAATACATGCTCTGCTCTCCTAAGAGAGGCCAGGATCGCAGCATTGAATCTCTTGCCTTTACAAGTCCATAAATGGTACACCTAGGACAGATAGGTTATTCTATTTAATTCTCTTGTTTCCTTACCCTAAGAAGAGAGGACACTGTCGTACAGCTACTTGGG